AACTCTCCTTCATTCACGCCTTTCTCAGTTACACCCCAACAAATACCTCCCGTTCTCTCCTTCATCATGGTAATCCTCGCTGAGCGCTTGGAAGTTTCTTCACTGTTTAATACTAGTTTAATTAACTTTGTCCAGACAGAGCAGGGTCGTGGGGGAGGAGGGCATGAAGCAAGTTGCCCCTAAAAAAAAAATCATTCTGCCTCTAATTTTGTATGCTAATCTCCTTTTTCACGCTGCGCCTCCTCAGGGGTGGGGGGGGGGGGGGGGGAAGAAATGTTGGGAAAACTTTGGGTCTGCCTGTGCAAAGGCTTCCTGTGGCTGTTTTCTTTCTGGGCCCACCTATTTGGATCCTTTCACTCCTCTAGGGCCTTCCTTTGCTCAATTTAACAATGAATGCAGAGCTAATCAGCTCTCTCGGAAATGCACCACTGTCGAAGAAGGTAATCCCTTCTTCTGTCCTCTCAATGGGCCGTCGCCTCCTAAAGAACTTTGGGAAAAGGCTTTGCACAGATTCACACTGTTCCCTCAAAAGAAGTTAGTTCAAGTATTGTGCCCAAACAAGTGAGTTTTATAAACACATGCTTGCCAGGACACTCACCCCACCTGCGAGTAAGAAGTGCCAGCCCAGGCAGACCTGCACATGGCAGCCAAAGCTGAGACCCTTCAGATAAGAAAGGGGCATGAAAGGGGAGATTAGAGGTCCCATTGAGAGGAGGGCGTTCATTTCTGCACCTTCCTCCTTTTACACAACCAAGTGTCAAGGAAACACCTTGTTGACATCTTATTTACCAAATAATGATCATAATTGGAACTCGTCTTTCCTCTGACGACCCCTGTGGGCCGGCTGGATTGCTCTGCCAGGGAAACAACAAAGGAACCATGTGGAACGTCAAAAAAACAAAAAACACACAAAAAAAACTGTTGTGTAAGGGAGGACAGAAAAGGAGCCAAAACGTCCTTCAGTGCCACGAAAAGCATTGTGCAACTAACGTTAGGTCAGACATTTTAGATCAAACTTGTCAAAGTTTTTGTAAGATTTGCACGTCCTCTGTGTTGTAACAGTATAGCGATGCTGAAAAATATTTGATCCCCACAAGATTTATTTTCTTCTTGGTTTTTGTCGTTAGCAAATGTTTCTTCAGCATACTGACTTTAATAGATGACAAAGAGTAAATACAAACATTTTAATTTCATTTAAACGCTTGTCTAAAATAATCTTGCCCTCTATAAAAAAAAAAAACCCTAATAACATCTTGTGCCATACAGTTGACAGCAACATTTTACATCAAATATTTGCAATAACCGATAAAAAGTCTATTACATCCCTGGAGAAGAGGCGATTACTTCTTTTGTGTTTTGGATAGCTTCTTCTCATAATATATTAAATTATAATTTGAGAACTGCAATTTTATAATTTGCCAATAATTGAATGAAAATGTGAGTGAAACCGATTTTACCCAGTGAGTTGACATGTAAACTGTATCCTACTAATTTGTATTAAAAACCTGCTGGTTCGTTTGTGTCTATAACACACAACACTTTTATAGATTCATGTAAAGAGAACAAACTGTGTTAGTGGCAGATTGTAGTTGACAAAAGGTCAAGTTATCAGTAGACCAGATATCAGCTCATGCTAAATAAACTTTGAAATACCTTCAGAAAACCTGAGGAATGTATAAAACATGATCTTGCTTAAACATTCCAATAAAGCCTCCTTCATGGGAAGTGAAATATATAAAAAATTAGAATCTTAAGGCTTGTCCACATAACAGTATATCTGACATAATTTTGCTTTAAGCTTCTGGAAAATGAGTATTAATATCACCTGTCAGTGCTGAAAACATTTGTTGGCTTTTATCTGAGATGAAAAGGGGGCCATAATCCTACCGTTACAGGTAAGATACACTAGCCACGAGTCTTTCTTTTCTAGTTTTTTATAAAGCTTTCTTCTCACTTTTATGTGGTAAACAAGTTGGAGGAACAAGTGAAACGGCACACAACGCCAATCATGACTCAAACGCACAATCTACCCCCACGCAGAGAGTGACACGACCTCTGACCGTGGGGCCAAAACTTCCGTCTACCAGGCCGACTCTGCCATGTCCAATCTGTGATGACACGTTAGTGCAAGGTGATGGGAGGAGAGGTGACAAAACCAGAGGAACGCCGGGAATTCAGGCGGATGAGCGTGCTAACAGATTTGAGTTGCAATTTTAGCTTAACACGCAAAGAAATAACAGATGTTAGGTTATTGTTCGGAATAGCTCAGTGACACTATAAAATATCAAATGTTTGGTTTCATTTCTATGAATAAGGTCACACTAAAAAAAGACAGAACTTTGAATCTGGAACTTATATCTTTCAGCTAACGGGTGATATTTTGTGTGCTTGAAGCTGGAAGAAACACTCATAATCCCTCTCAGAATCCTTGACTAATGGGATTTTTGACTTGGAGGTTTCAGACCCACAACACCTAAAGGGGGCGAGGGTCAGAGTGAATGTGAGAGAAAGCAGATGAGTACAGATGAAAAGGCAACTGAACAACAAGCAACAAGCTACGGAATTCTGAAAAAGTTGGGTGTCGCTTCTGTTTTTCCGTTCATGTGACTTTGTGAAATTCCATCATTAATAACGAAAAGCGTTTGGTTTTCATCAGTCGCATAATGCCGCTATGGAGCATTCAGTGGCTCTCGAAGAGATGCTGTTTTGGCAGATGGAATAGGGTCGGCAGAGGTACATAGGTGTATTGGAATCTGCAGAAACGAGAACTAAGCTCCTTGAGGCTCGCTGGGGAGTCCTACCTCCTAGTTACTGGTATCTCCAAAGAATGGGGGCGAGAGGTGAGGGTGAAGAGGATCAGCTCTGCTCAGGTCAGTTCACTGATCTGCACAGGAAACACTGGGCATGGGAACCCAACAGGGAGCCTCACCCGGTGCCTGCAATTTAAATCTGCCCCTAAGTCCTTATTTAAGAGAAAACACACATGACCTGACAGGAAATGCTGCTGAATCACCAAACTGAAATGAGGGCATGCTTATTCCATCCCCCTAAAGGTCAAAACTGCAAAATGGCAATGATCATTTTGACTGAAGTGAAGCGTCACGTCTACATTAAAGCCAGGGTGATATTTAAAGCAGGTCTTTGTCAGTTAATCAGTGCACAGGAGCAAGGTACACAGCGTACTCCTCTGTGACCTCATGAACAGTGATTGAACAGCAATGCCAGGGCTGTGATGACCACGAATAAATATTAGTTCAGAATTTCAACGTTGTTTGCTTGGTTTTTGTTATCCAAACATTTTTGTCCAGAAATAGACGAGCCGGGTTGCAACCTACCATTCGAAATAATTAGGACAAGATAACGTGCTGTCTCATGTGATGCAACGCCATAATTTTATTACCTTATGTCCTGCTGGATCAATTAAAATGAGTGTTGGCGGGTTTGTGCTCCTGCAAAATTGTCAAGGTAAAATATTGTTTTTTTTTTATCCTTAAAAGTATCAAAACTTTATTTTATAAAGTAAACTATACTTGATTATCTTTTGAACCACTTTGAGCCTCATTTTTCTGGAGCTCCTAAGATGTCACTGATATTTGCATGTTGTGAGATTTGACTGAAATCTCCTGCTTTTGTTACAGTTCTCTTGGCTTGTGTTCCTTGTCCCCTTTACACTGCTGCTTGTGCTATGGACTTCAGTGAGATTTTAGGCAAAGCAAGTTAATTTGTGCTTTATGGAAATGTGAAATACAAACAAGCGAGAAGCATTATGTTGAAGTGATGGAAAGCGGTGAAAAGTTGGAATACTGACTACAAGTAATGTTCCAGTCAGTAAATGAAGGTAACGCTAAGCAAATTGGTTTACACCAATGCAACTTTGTACAAAATTTTGATTGGAAAATTATACTTCTTTTTCCCAAATAAAAGCACCAAAATGTATGTGAATCATTTTTTATTCCACCCATTTTATTCTTATATCCTAAGGAGCTACAAAGATCTACAGCCCAGATGAGGAAATCTATAAACACAACCATTGCAGAGCAAAACCACAAATCAGACCTATGTTGAAGAAATTCATCATTGAAGGAAAGCCTTTAGAAGCCGTGTTGGTAGATTGGCACAAGTCATTCAGAGGACACGCTGGGAGTCATAGGAAGAGTTCAGCTTCCTTTACACAAAAAATAAAAGGTGTAGGGGAAGCACACACTTTAAATCACACTGGCATGTGTGACACAATCCCTACAATAAAATTTAGGATTTTCTTCATAGGAAAACTGACCGGAGTTTAAGGAAAGATGAAAAGGTTAAATGGAACAAAATACTTTTGCTATGAAAGTACTTTGTAATGATACAGTAGTCTCTAGTCATTCCCAAAATTAAAACCTTAATTTTAGGTTGTCATGTTTTTTTTTTTTTCAAAATTAATATGTATATATAGTTTATTTATACCATAAGTAAACTATATATTTAACTATATGATTTTCTTGATTGTTCTGTTTACATGCATGCTCGTGACACAGTTTAAACGTCACAGTCCTTTTAAGCTAATGCCATTTATATTAAATATAAATATTCACTGATATATTATATATCTTAAATTTAAAAGAAATCTTTAGTTAAGCAGCACAATTTAATATTGTACATTGCAATATTAAATTATGATCTTGTGGTAACTGAGGAAAAACAAAGATATTGCTCCCTCTTGTGGCAATAACATGCTTTTGCAATATGATCTATACCCTGAAAGCTTTTAGGAATAAAAAAAAAAGCTTTCGTTTCTAAGTAATTGAAAGCCAGAAAATACAGAGTAAAACAAGTACCATTTTAAATATATACACTATTTGAGTTTTATCTCTTTTTTGACAGAATAGCTAAAATAAATTAACTTTCCATAGTATAATTCATTCGGATGAACTTGAAAATGTTTTGCACCAGTTTACCCCGGACGCTAGGTGTCGCTGTATAATATTATGTGCCTGAATTAATCAAAACGGCTTCCTGTGTTTTTGCAGCCCGTGTAGTTTTGTTTGCTCCCTCCTGTCACCACAGCGTGTAAACATTCATACACGGAACAGATCCGTGGTGAAACGCTACTTCTGGGCGGCAGGAGCCCTCTTATTTTATTTTATTCATCAATAAACCTGAGCAGGGAGTGAGACTGTCCAGGTAGTTCCGCTGTATATTTATATGAATATAAAAAAGGAAAGGAGAAGCTGGTGGACGCTTTCATTGTGAGGTGGACCGAGGTACAGCAGCGAAAGCGGGGCTCGCTGAACCACCATGGCAGCGGCGACTGTTGTGGAGGCAGATGCGGCGACAAGCGACGACGGAGCGGCTTTCTCCGACGTGCACAGTCGGGAATGGGATGAGTCCCAGTTCCGAAAATACTCGTTCCCAACCAAGCCCATTCCCCGGCTGTCTTACACGGATCCCAGAGCAGAGATGCTTATAAACAACGAGGTAACGCAGCTGCAGGGTTAGGTTACTGGAACTTTATTTTCATTTATACAAATCTTCTTTTCATTAGAATTTAAAGAATCATCGAACATTTAATATTGAAAAATGCAAAAGTGAACTTGAAAAATAAGCCCGACTTATTTGGCTCAAAATAATAATAATAATAATAAAAAAATATAAACACGAACACCGAGGTTAATGATAGTGAAAGTAATCTATCGAAGAGCATAAGAAGTATTTTATTTCCTTTTTTTGATAATACACAATGTTTCTATTTTGTCTCGGATTACTTTTTATTTTTCTGGCGTGGTTAATTATATATATTAAAAGAAAGCCAAGAGAGGAAAAATGCCACAACTTTCCAGACTTAATTCCTCATACAGTTTTCTAAAAACTTTTATGTGTTATTTGACTCTTTGCATCTTGGGTTTATTATTTTAGAGGTCTGTACTTTTATTTTTTTGTTCAGAGACTGAAAAAAGACATTTTATTCCTTTTTTGTGGTCTCCAAAGCTTGGGACATAACTAAAACATTTATTCATTCATATAAGTCTAACCCCCAGCAATTTTTAATAGATATGAACTACATATTTGTTGTTGCTCCTGTACTATGTCCTTGTGTGACTGGCTTACAAGAAAATAAATCAGTAGTCAGGGTCACAAGTCCTGTAAGCTGCTATATTTATGGGTCAAAAGCTGAAATGCCTGGAAACCACTGATGTAAGATGTTCCACAAATATTGATGTCACAAATATAGGTGGTGTAGATTTGAGTTAGAAGATTCAGTCAGAAGTATTGTTTTAGAATTTGGAGGACATATGGACGATAACACCCAAATTATGTGCACTGGAGTTTTTCGTAAATGGTTTGCATTGTGGTGTGTAATTAGTATAAAAACCTATTTTATTGCTCTGTGTTTGGTTGCCAAGTTTCAGACTGGAGAAGTAAGAAATTGTTTACAGTGAATAAGTCTAATTTTAAAGCCAGATGAAGTAGCACTTTTTCTTTTATTTCACTGAGACAAAACTGAAGCCCGTTGAGTATCTGTGTCAGCTAAATCCTGAGTATCGATCAGCGACTTGAGTGCACCTGCTGAGTCCAGTGTGGAGACACATTGATGTTTAATCCTGAAGAGTTTACTTGGAACAACTAAAAACAGATCTGAGAAAAGGTTTTTTTACTTTCCTTAGATCAAATAAACCAAAAGAGTCATGGGTAGCAAATGCAAATGCTTGCTCTTACTGATGAAAGTGTTAAATATGAAATATGTCTATGTGGTATAGTAACATTTTACATAGTAACATTTTAGAATAAACACAAGCTAAACATTTATTTATTTTTTTAATTGCATGCCATTTTATACCGTATTTTTGTCCTGTTTCTTTGAAACAATCCTGCTGTTTTAAAACAGCATTGTGTTAACAGCTGAATGAGTGGGGTTTTTTTGTGCATGAGGGAAGCAGGTGACGCCGTTCTTTTAGCCAGCTGACTAGCAGTGCACAGTTGATGTGCACTGCTCTGAAACGCTGATTTCTCCAACTCACCAAAAGCACGTCAAACCTGTAAGAATGAAATGAAATAGGACATTTTTTGAACACAACAGACATCCTTCATATTACCGTTTGTTTTCATTGCCATTTGTTTTAACAGAAATACTTTACCTGGTAGGTGTGTCTGTTCAGGACAAACAGCCTTTGTGCCTTTGTTTACATTTCCCTTTGGGTCTTTCATTATTCATGAACGTGCTGTTGTTTGAGTTTCAAATGAAATTTAGCCTATTTCACCTGTCTCCAAAAGGTTCCAGTGACTTATCTCTCATTTATTTAAGCTGCCGGTCTTCTGGTCTTCCTGTGGGTTTAATGATTCAAAGCTAGGAGAATTCTGACACTCTGCTTTGATGCAACATGATATAGCATAATGACTTCATAGTGCATTCTCTGCAAAGGACATTGTTCTCTTAGGATTTTAAAGAGAGTATGTTACTTGACTAAAAATGAAGCGGCCCAGGTTTGTCACCCGAATATTCACAAACACCCTGGGCTTCCTGTTTGCATTGTCCCAAGGTTTATGTGTTGCTTAAGATTTCATCTTTTGTGTAATCCAAATACAGACAGAGATGCATGTTGTAACCTAGAGAACGACAGCAGAGCCGACATCTTCTCTAAAAGGAAGCAGGTTTCCTTTTCCTACCCTGCTTTATATGGCTCTGTTACACAAACCTACTACAATGTTCATCTCCTGAGAACTATTTTACAAGAATAGCTTTAATCACTGTGTAAAAGTGAACTCCTTTCTAAATGACCTTCAAAAACTGGCTCAAGTGATGCAAATGCAACTTGAGCTGGTGCTGATTTAGCTGAAAGTTAGCTTTTCCTGTGTACTTCTGTTGCTGACAGATGTGTTCAACATTTGTCTTTAAATCTTTCCTGTTGGAGATAGTTTTCAGATGTTCATACCCAAAACTTGGTAGATGAATGGATTTTAAAACTACAAATTAGGTAGTAACTCATGTATTCATTCATTCATTCAGCTATTTACTTTCATTAATAATTGAGACCAAGTTGATTATCAACTTGGTATGCGGAAAGAAGGCTTCTTTGAACACCAGGCTGTTCTACATACAGGTTGCATAAATGCATCACATTAAGGCTACGAGGCTCACCCCTCCGTCATTTAACCATCTAATTGGAACAAAACATAATCTTATACCACTGCAGCTAACAATAAGTGGAAAAGCCAAACTCAACGCAGACCGGTACGTTTTAAACAGTCCTCCTCCAACCACATCATCTCCTCGCAGCTGCAGAGTTCAGCGTCCTCCGATGAAAGTGAAACCGAGAGCCAGCCGCAGGCAGCCGAGCAGCGGGAGCGCGCACAGCGGGCTACGTTCGGTTTGTCACGTAGGCCTGCGAGCTCCGGGTGTGTGTGCGGTCATGCGCGTGACTCACGTGCACGTAAATCGCGAGATGTTATTTTAAATCAATTTACACTTCCTTTGCATGATCTAAAACATGTACACTGACTGGGTGAGATAGCTTTGCAGCTTTGGCAATGACTATTCTCATTTTCTGTTCAGGATGCTAAACACCAGTTGCATCAGTTCTTTTCAGATTATTGACATCAGATTATTGGGAAATTGACAACGGGGGAAAAAAATAGCAGCAACACATGAAATGCTTTTGGGTAACACTTTATTTGAAGGGGTGTGCATAAGACTGACATGACACTGTCATAAACATGACATAACACCTGTAATGAACAGGTGTTATGTCATGTTTATGACAGTTGTCAAGAAGTGTCATTCGGTAAATAATGACACTTTTAATGCAAAGTTGCTCTAACAGTGACATTAAAAGTCCATTAAAAGTCCCAACTTTGCATGATTTTGTAAATTATGATAATGCAACAACAAAAATACAATCACGTTTTCAAAAACGTCACTATCTGATAACGTTGTTGTGATACTACAGCATGTTGTCCTTCAGTAGATTTACTGTAAGCAGGTTTATTTACTGTTAACAGCGTCTGCTTCAGATTGTCTCTCATATTTACATGATTAAAAAGTATAACACAAAATTAACATGAGAAGAGTTGCTATTTCTGCCATGGTTACACTGACGGCAGAAACATTATTTGAATGTTTCTGCTCACGTCATTGTGTTTTCTCCAGGTGCCACTACAATGTATCACCAGCGTATAAATGCATGTCACCTTGAAGATATCAGGTTTTATTGGACATCTTCAAGACTTAACCAGCTTTTAAATGTTTGAAAATAACTTCTGTGAAGGAAAGTTTGGCTGTATATTAGATCTTCTTAGCGTTGAGGTGTATAGCAACCACCAGGCTTTGTTGTAACATTTCAATAAAGTGTTCCTGATCTTCCTCCAGGAACCGGTGGTTTTAACGGACACCAACCTTGTATACCCAGCACTGAAGTGGGACATCCCATACCTCCTGGAGAACATTGGAAATGGAGACTTCTCCGTTTACAGTTCGGAAAACCACAAATTCCTCTACTACGATGAGAAGAAAATGTGCAACTTTATGGACTTTGTTCCCAAGTCTCGTCGAATGGAGATGAAGTTTTCTGAGTTTGTGGATAGCATGCGTAAAAGAGAAGAAGAGGGAGGAGAGGAGAGGTAAGTTGTCAGACGTGTGATGTGAGCAATGCACATTTCTGCTGTTTTAGCCTTCAAAAGTATTGAGGAAAAGATATGCCTGTGACAGAGTTAGTGACTAAGGAGTTATGTGACGAAGGCTTATTTCTGTAACCTGACTGATCTGGCAGCTCATACTCAGATCAGATACCAAAGAGACATTCGCTTTTAACTCGCTGACCCTTAAAGTAACTGTTACTTAGTATAATTTCCACTTATATTAATGCAATTTCCCCCCACCCCCAAGTGTTTGGAAACTGTAGGGAGTGACTTTTTTTTTTTCTTTTTAAACTCTCGTTTGCACCACTTTTCACACCAGCAGGTCCAGGGCTTGTTTTTCAGCCCTTTGCATGTGAAATAGCATGACTCATACTTAAAGCATGTCTCTTTCCTCATGTGTTTCAAGAGTCTATTTGCAGCAAACACTGAATGACACAGTAGGAAAGAAGATTGTTGTTGATTTTCTTGGTTTCAACTGGAACTGGATCAACAGACAGCAAGCCACGCGGAACTGGGGGCCGCTGACGTCCAACCTTCTGCTGGTTGGCATGGAGGGTGAGCCTCTCATTTCCTTCCTATATTCCATGATACACAATAGCCTGAATGGCAGAATATTGGCATTGCAGAATACTGGTATACGCGCCCTGAAAGGACATGGTGTATTCAGGGTGTGGACTCATTGCCCTGAATGGTGGTGGTATTGTCTGTGAAACATGGTGGTGGTAGCATCATGTGCTTTTCTTCAACCGGGACAGGGAAGTTGCCTAAATCTGAAGGGAAAATGGATGAAGTTAAATGTAGGGCAGTCCTGAACAAAACAAGTTAGATGTCCACCTTCCAGCATGATGGTGACCCAAAACATAAAGCCAGATCTAGATCAATTATTTGTCTCAGATGAACTCAGTTCGGACCTAAATACAATCCATGATAAGGCTGGGAAAACTAATTTTTGCAAATTCTCTCCGTCCAGTCTGACTGAGATGTGCAGAGCTGGTAGAGACAGTCACTCAGATGTGTAGGTGAAGTGAAAGGTAGTTTTTATTTATAAAAAAAGAAGAAAAAAAGCATTTAAATAACATAACCCATTTTCCTTCAGCTTCTGCTCCATCACACAAGATGCCAAAAATCTTATCTATTTTACAGTTTTCAAGCTTCAGGTTTTCTGGGGTTTTTTTTCACATTACTGTATATGTTTATCATTTTCTCAGGCAATGTGACGCCGGCACATTATGACGAGCAGCAGAACTTCTTTGCACAGATAAAAGGCCATAAGAGATGCATCCTCTTCCCCCCAGACCAGTTTGAGTGTCTCTATTCTTACCCTGTCCATCACCCATGTGACAGACAGAGCCAAGTAAGTTATGCTGCTTAACGTGATTTAAGGTTTGGCTAATTTTGCTAATAGGCTTTTTCATATTTTTTTCCCACCAACTTTTCTTCTGTTTTAGGTTGATTTTGATAACCCTAACTATGAGAAGTTTCCAAATTTTAAAAATGTTGTTGGCTATGAAGCTGTTGTGGGACCTGGAGATGTTCTCTACATCCCTATGTATTGGTAAGATGTGTTTCTCCTTGATTTTTTTTTTTTTTTTTTTTTTATAAAATTTTGCAAAATTATCAGAATAGGAGGTTTTATCCCTTCCATCATTTTTTTAAACCTTTTGATCTTTATACTTTTAACCATCAAAGAGTTCACACATCAGTTCACCTATTACTTTATCAACGGAATATGCAGCTCTAGATGAAAATAGCTTTCGCTTTGATTGCCTGCTGTAATTAGAGTCTGCTGCTTCCAGTGATGTTACCTGAAACTGTATTACACAAGGTGGAAGCCATAAATCAACTCTGTGGAGAAACACAGCTGAGCTCGCTAAGCACACACTAACCTCAGAAAGGCAGTGATTCTGCACCAGATGAGTGAGACGTTTAATTTAGCCTTTCTCAGGAAAACCAGATGTATTGCATTCCCACATGAATGAGATTTTAGGTGTACAGAAGACATTTCTGAGAATGTTGTCCTCCGAACGTGTGAACATATTATTAACACCACCTTCAGGGTGCTGTTATAGCAGGATTGTGCAAACGCCAGGCACGTCAAACACTAAGCTATTGTGCAAAGTGTTAAAGCTCACCTGCCCTCTTGCAGTCCTGATTTTTCTCCTGTTGCTATAAAAGAAAAAATTATTTTGGAAAAGTTGAAAGATTTTTCTTTAAAAATGTTTGAATATGTTCAGTTTTCAAATGATTAAAATTAAGTATTGTATAAAATCTTGGTAAGCAAGTGATTAAAAATGTTCCAGGATTTTCTTGTTTTGCTGTTGATTAAAATAAATCGACATTTAAGCACACACTTGGATTGGTTTTGCAACCTGTGATGTAAATTTCACTTTAAAAAAAAAAAAAGTGATGCGTCAATCGTGTTTTTCTTGCTTTTGAAGGTGGCATCACATCGAGTCATTGTTGAACGGCGGAGTGACCATCACGGTTAACTTCTGGTACAAAGTACGTATATTTGAATCATCACGTTGCTGCCGCGTAATGCACAACTTTCCCACTTCACTTCATTTGAACCCCATTTCTCTTTTATTTAGGGAGCTCCAACACCGAAGAAGATAGAGTACCCTCTGCGAGCTCATCAAAAAGTTGCCATCATGAGGAATATTGAGAAAATGCTTGGAGAAGCACTTGGAGATCCCCATGAGGTAAACGCTTACTTTTAAGCCAGTCTTTACTGTCATCAAAAGAAGCTGCAGCTATCATCTGAGCTCGGTCTGCACATGAATGTCACATTGTCCGTTTCTAGAATATTTAAATGGGACCTATATTTAGGTCACTAGTTACATTGAAATCCCTCAGGCACGCTGACCCTCCTGACAACCCAGTTACTGTGAATATTCATTTCCAACTTCATTTTTGTACTGTGGAAATGCCTTTTAGAACAGAGAGTTACATCACATGTAAAACCCTCTGTTTTCTCCCCCTGCAGGTCGGGCCGTTACTAAAAACAATGATCAAAGGGCGATATGAGCAGGGCCTCAGTTAGAGCTCCAACGTTGCAACTCTTGAATGGACTGCTCCACAAACTGTTTGCATGTGAAGTGTGTGTGTTTTTTTATTTTTCTTTTCAGTGTGCATCCTGTCATTGGAGCTAAGCGCCAGTGCATGGCCGTAATCAGCCGTAATTTAAATAACTCTGCATCGGTCTCAGAACGGCGTTTTCATAACAACTGTGCCGAGTAAAGGAAGAAAAATGAATCAAACCATTGGGATTTTCATCCAACTTGAAGATGCTTTTTTTTGCCTTTGGAGAGAAGAAATGAAGACGTATTTCTTTGAATCAGTGTTTCCTTAAGTCTTACAATTTCTGCTTTTAGCCTTAAGTTTTAATATTTGTATCTGCGAGGAAACAGTGTTTAAGAGTACTTGTTTAGATGAGGGGTAAAATATTACAGAGAACACATAAAGAGATACCTTATCTATAAGGAATAAACAGTTGCTGCTCGAGTACAATATTAAGTTCTTATCACAAAACAACTTTAGAAATGAGTGTTCTGTGATGATTTATCTACATTAGGTAATTTCGTACTAATGTGCAGTCATTTATTAGCAAGACTGGCCATGATTTCAAAATATCAAAATCAGTTGCTTTATGATGATGATAAATGTATGGCTGTGAAACAGAGGATGCAGCTGAAGGTATACGAATAATTTTTATAAGTGCTTTTGGTTGTCTTTAATTTGTATCTTAAGTGCTTTATTGGATTTGCAGCCAAGAAATCCAGTTAGAGGATTGCTGAAAATAAATGTTACAACTTTAGTTGCTAGTACTAGTTTCTCTTAAATTGTAATAAATTACACCAAGTTAAAAACGGTACAAATGATAATTATATTGTACCAGTTGACTGAACTAGTCTAGACTAGAACTAGACCAAGTGCTGGCATGAAGCTTTGTAAAAGCAAATGTTGCGAAGCTTAAAGCACCATCTAGTGGTCAGGTTTGAAATAGCTTCTTAAGCTGTCCCATTTATTTTAGAATAGGAAACTAGAAATAAAATCAGTAAGCAATATTTAGGCTCCATTATTGTAACCTCTGAGTCATCAATGATCTGACATGCACTTGTCCCCTTTTTTTTCACAGCCTGTGTAAAGGTAAATGCTAATCAGCCTTTAACTTACTGTAAATGTCCGTTAAGGTCTCTAGTACAGGTCGACACTAGAGTTTCTTTGCTTCAAACATTTCTGAGCAGTTTTTCGATGCTGCAGATCCGAGTGAAACGAGAAGCAGAACATCGTGTGGCGTGCCAAACAAATTGAGCTTCATGTTCAGAAAGTTGGTGTTGACACAGATTTTCTTCCTGTTAACTGATGGTGTGCATATGTATATTTTTTACTTATTGCACTCTATTCAAATGGTTTTAATTCATGTGTAAAAATGCATCTGGGTGGGTTTTTTTATGTGAATTGTTTACTGAATGCATTTGCCTGATACATGGCAAAAAAAAAAAAAAAAGGAAGGTGATGTTAAAACTTTTCTATATTATGGTGATTGTGTTTGTTTTCACTTTGGCATTAAAAGGTTTAAATGTGAAATTGTTACTGTTTCCTTTTATGTCACGTTTTTTCAGTGATTCAGTTTTCAATATAAAAAACTTTTCTTTTGTAAGATTGAGGTGTTTTTTTTTTTTGTGTGGCCGTAATCGGACAAGGACTCAAGATCAGGAAATGAATCCTGAATTAGACCTGTCAAATAAGAAATGAAGTGTCTTATGTTTAGTTTGTAAAAATAAGTTTTGGTGGTTTGTTTGGTATTTTAGATCCAGCTCATGAACTGTTCCAATCAACCAAAGTGTAAAGTTGGCTCCAGGACAAACTGTTAGTAAAATGCTTCTTTGAACTTTTGAATAAGGATCAGCGAGTCGAAAGTCAAAATAGTGATTAGAAGAATTTCACAATTGTGGAACAAATTGTTAGAAACGTGTTTCTTTAATACAAAACTGCATTTATTAAGCATTAATAGGTTTTTGTCATTTAGAAAATGGGAGGAGGGGAGAAAAAAAAATACAACAGATCCCGGAAAACAATTTTTCCAAACTCAATTTTTGTTTTGAAAATGAAAACGCAAAATCCACACTTTCCAAGACTGTGTATGAACCCTGTCAGATGGCAATATGCAGACTGAAATGGTCCACTCTGATTTACCTAAATAACTTGTACTGAGTTCTGTGAGAACCTAAACAGGAAGCATACGGTACTCTACAAAAATGTAATTACTATAAATTACCAGAAGTCTTTTTTGAAGCCATGATAGAAAAGGAGAAAAAGAAAATCAGTTAACGGTTTCAGATAAGTCCACTCCATGCTCTACATAACACCATTGCATGATAAATATAACATCACATCATATGAACACCCAGTTCTGTTATACTACATTCAGAGAAACAATATATCACAGGTTTCAAATAGCTGCGTATTACTTACAACAAATAGGAGCGGAATATAAATACTAAATCCTGGAAAAGAAAATCTGTTCAGCTTATTTGTCCTAAATGTACAACTAAGTAGGATAAAAGAGATCACTCATTTTTTTTTTTTTTTTTTACAACAGTCTCGGGTGAAGCAAAATTCACACACAAACACAAATGAGATGAGAACCACAGCAGTATTATGTTTACCTGAAAGCACACAACCTTAAATCTTCATTAATGCAATCCCGTTTCCAAAAAGTTGCAAAGAAAGAGAACTAAAATAATGATTTGCAAACCCTGCAGGATCCCTATTGAGCAAATCTGTTTTACGTTTACATTCTGTTGCACATAAAACTGCTCAGAGGCCAACGACTGGCTGTTTTGAGCAGATTGTTATCCTAGTTTTAATTCAAACCACAAACACCCTTCATTGTCAATTTAGAATTACCTAAATGTCTTAACATTGCAGCATCTTTGTATGAGCATTATTTTTGGATCTACAGTTAATTTTTTTAAAAATCTACAACCATAATTAATTCTCCCTCATTGTAGCAATTTCTAAGTAAAAAATCCAAAGAGCAGCAGTTAAAAATTGCTCAAAACAAACATGGATTTTTTTTTTTTTACATAGCAATTTCCTTTGTGCAACACATACAGAATTATCAGTTATGATTATTCACTATAGTGGCGCAGTTGATAGCACTGATGCCTTGCAGCAAGAAGGTCCTGGGTTCAATTCCCAGCCCAGGAGAACACTGCATGGAGATTTGACATGTTCTCCCTGTGCATGTGTGGGTTCTCTCTGGGTACTCTGGCTTCCTCCCACAGTCTAAATTCTCCTTAGTTGTGTGTGCTTGGTTGTTTGTACTGTCTGTCTCTGTGTTGTTGAAGATGTTACATTAACTGTATGCTTGAGGCTAGGGAAATCTGATAACACTTAAGCATGTATTGTGCACACAAAGACCAAAGGAGACTAAATTTTTGCCAGAGAGAAAGTCAGGAATGGAGAAAACCTTCCATACAGACCAATGTATGGCTGCAAGAAGCAGCTCACTGAAGTTATTTTAGTCAACAGGGTTAAGACTAGCAATTAGGGGGTAGGTTGTCCTGATTTTATCCTCAGAATAGATATTTCAGAAACACTTGGTTTTTAGTGACCTCAGTATATGAACATTCTGTTGGAAAGGGCTGAAATTTGAATGGGGTGTTCTGTTTTTCACAACTGCATATTATCTAAAAAAAAAAAAAGAAAAAAAAGAAACAAAGATAATTTAAAAGAAATATGAATATCAGATATATGTCATTTCTGTTTTAAAGTAAATAAAAGGCTTAGGGCAAGTTTGCAAATCATTGCCTTGTACATCTTATGCAGCCAACCAACATTTTTTGGAAACTTAGTTGCAATGGATTTAAGATTCTGCATATAGAAACATTTATATATCAAAAATAAATATTCTGGACTTTAAAATGAAGCCCATCAAGTTCATATTTCACTATTTGGGGGATACCCACAATCCTCTATTCTGATATTCTACACAAAAAGGTGTTATAGCATGTCCATTTCTAGAAAAATGTATTTACTGTGCAGGAAACTTAGGTATTAATTTAGCTTTCTAGTAAATCCTAAATTACTACAAGACAGAATTTTTTTTTTAATATTTGTCCTACAGTATGGAACAGTGCAAGAAATAAATGAATCTGTGTGAATCTGTCAGACGTAATAAAGTTTTGGGGCAGCAGCGCAAACTGCGCTCAACCTCAAGGCTTCAACAAAATGTATGAATCTTGATGAAAACTTAAGGAAAAAAAATATACTAAGACTTGTAATGTTCACAACAAACTTCAACAGCACCACTTATTTACAAAGATGATGAATATTATAATCATGGCCCCCCATTCCCCCCCCCCAAAAAAAAAAAAAAGAAGAAAGAAAAAGAGCTGTCAGTGCGACATCAGACCTGCTGAGGTGGCCAAAACAAATCCGATAGGCTGTTTGTTACACAAACAAGAACACAAGTTACAACAGATTGACTAAAAAAAAAAAAAAAGACAAAAAAGTTTAAAAAAGCAACAGCGGTGCAACTTAAAAACAACGGTTTTATCCAAGGCATGATGGTTAACGTTTTAAAAATAAGCCACTGCCACACTGAAAAATGTTTCCTAATACTAGGGGGTTTGTGGGAATACATCAAGTTTTGGTTAAATGAGTTGGATAAAGAAGAAGTAGTGTAAACAATGCCGTTACTAGCTGCTCGCACAGTGCTGTGCTCGTCATCAATGGAACCTGTACTTTCGGGCCGGTTTCAGGTTGACGTAGGTCTTCTTCATGTCGTCCGTCTCGTTTTTCTTCACGAGTTGATATCTCTCTCCTTTTGTTGTAACCACCTGGTTACCGTGGTAGCGGACAAGCTTCTTTGGAGCCTGATGAACGGGGGGAGGGAAAAACAAAGTTTTATTGTACAATACAAAGAATTGTATTAAAAGGGAATATACCCAGAATCGTACGTCTTTGGGAGCAACTGGTCGATGGGTTTTGTTATCTTCCTCACTGTCCACTAGCATGTACCTGTAGAGACAGAATTCAGATGCAACACTGTGATTAGCTTGGGAGGGTATTTCTGTTCAACAACCATAATGTTAATAGTTTCACTTACTTCTCCAGGATGCTCTCTTTAAGTTTCTGGTCTGCAAGTGATGAAATGCTCTTTCCTTGGTTTACCTGAAGTGTCAGAATAAGACGGGTTTAGTCGTTTATGGTTCCGCGAAGACGTACTCCTGTCTCTTACCGCTTTTTATTTACGCTACAAATAGAAACGTGAATGGATTTCATGTTACGGACCGTATTGCATGATTGAAAATTTACATCCCGACTTCCTTCGAAATTACTGGGAATGTTGATATTCCAGCCAAACTGGCTGAGCTTGAGCCACTTTGCAACGAAGAATGTGAAAATCCTCTGCCTCTATATGTGCAAAGCTGGTAGAAAGCTTTCCTAAAAAAAAAATATGCAGCTATAATTTTGGTGAACGAAGGGCAACTCAGGGGGCTGAAGGTTTCTCGGTGTCTTTTTCTTTCATTTCAACATTAAGCACAACTTTTTGTTGGTCTGTCAAAGTGGCAGTCAAATAACGCGACAGACTTAGAATAGATTCATGGGCCATGAATACTTCTTCAAGCACTGTAGCTTAAAGATGTTAGAAACTGATGAATTTCTAACATCATGTAATCTGGGTGATTTGCCACGTTTCTCTGCGACACAGAGGCTTACATTAATAGGAGTGGGGCTGAGCTGGACGTCGCCCTCTATGATAAGGCGCACTGCTTCCTCCATGTCTCCTTTGGCGATGGAAAGAGCGCTGCGAGCTTCGGACAAACTGCACTTTGGGAACATCTCCAGCAGGTGCTGCTCTTGGGACTCCCACTCAGACGCCGACAGCTAAAAAAAAAGGGCCATATTTATTGCTTGAATTTGCGTAGTTAAAATTAAAGAACTATTTTAAAGCTTGAAGAGGCCAGTGCTAATGTGTGTTGGCTTGTTAACCTTGGCTGTAGCGCCCTCTGTCTGTGGCTTAAGGCACAGAGGTTCTTGTCCTGGTTCTGGCTGACTGGTCAGGGCGTTGAGTTTCAAAGAAACCTCTTCCGTCCCCGTCTTAGGCACACTGTTTTCTTTAAAATGCAACACAAGATAAAGTTTAACGCTTCGTTTGTAAAAACCAGGCTTGCCACAAAGCTATCATTTAGAAAAATAAAAACCAACACTCACCTGACATCCGAGCAGTGGCCAGTTTTGAAGCCAGACTGAACATCATTTCACAGACTTTGACACTGGAGCATAAACAAAATAATCTTTAATCAACATCAGTTGACAATGGTACAGCTGACCGGCCCTGCTTTTGCGTGAGCAGAACAGAGGTCGAGTGTGGCCGTGTTACCTGTCTATTTCGGCAAACCCGGGTATATACGCTTCCAGCATTTCTCCAAAGACCTCCACGTCAAAATTCTCCTCAATGCTCTGCTGGGACCCCAGGTCCTCCAGGACCCCGGTGATGTACGACAGAAGAACATCATCCAGTGTGCTGCAGGATGAAAATAACTACATTTTAGTTTACAAAAAAATAAACAAAA